CTTTGTGCCCCCCGAACAAACAATATGTTCCCCAGGATCTACGACAATGGGTCATGCAATGTGTTCATACTTCTGTCATCCAGGTATCTCACGCACCAAGTTAATCCACAACGCTTTCTGGTGGCCAACCATGAACGGAGATGTAACCGATTACGTGAAATCTTGCCAAGTTTGCGCGCAATCTAAGACCCCCAAGGAACTGCCATCCGGTCTTCTGCAGCCGCTACCTATCCCGCAACGTCCATGGTCTCACCTGTCAATCGACTTTGTTACCGATCTCCCACCATCCCAAGATTTCACTACAATTCTATTCATCATCGACAGATTCTCTAAGTCTTGCCGCCTCATTCCCCTCAAAGGTCTGCCAACAGCCATGGAAACGGCTCAAGCTCTATTTCACCAGGTGTTTCGAATTTATAACTTACCCGAAGATATCGTCTCGGATCGAGGGACTCAATTCACCTCTCAGGTGTGGAAAGCTTTCTGCCGACAATTGGACATCAATGTGAGTCTGACGTCAGGCTATCACCCACAGTCAAACGGTCAAGTCGAGAGACTCAATCAGGAGATTGGTAGATATCTGAGAACCTACTACAGCCGGGAACAGAATCGGTGGGCAGAATTCTAGCCATGGGCGGAATACGCCCAAAACTCTTTAACCCATGCCTCTACAGGACTCACCCCATTCCAATGTGTATTAGGATATCAACCTCCATTGTTCCCGTGGTCTGGCGAACCTTCCTGCGGTAGATGACTGGATACGTCTTTGCGAGAGGGTGTGGGATAGCGCTCATGTTCATCTTCAAAGAGCTGTACGAGTTCAAGAACTCCAGGCAAACCGAAGACTGCGCCCACATCCTCCCTACCAACCAGGACAGAGGGTCTGGCTCTCTACGAGGGATATCAAGCTACGTCTGCCAAGCAGGAAGCTCAGCCCAAGGTATGTTGGCCCATTCAAAATCTTAAAACAGATAAATGAGGTTACATATCAGCTTGAGCTTCCTGCTAACTACCGCATCTCTCCTTCATTTCATGTCTCGCTCCTCAAACCGGTCCACCCGAATGCTGACCCCAACGCTGAGTCCCAAGAGCCACCGCCTCCGCTGGACATTGATGGATCGCCAGCTTATAAGGTGAACATGCTGCTGGACTCGAGGCGTAGAGGGGGTCGGCTTCAATACCTGGTGGACTGGGAGGGATACGGACCTGAGGAGAGATCATGGATACCTGCTTCCAATATACTGAACCCCTCACTCATAGAGGAATTTCATCAAGCCAGGCCCGACCGTCCAGCACCACGGGGACGCCCACGCAGAGCGCCAGGAGTCGCTCCTAGAGGGGGGGGTCCTGTAACACCAAGCCAGCAGAGGGAGCCCTCGCCCGAGTATTGACTGTTGGCACTCCCTCTGCTTTCTCTGCAACCACTTCCTGTTTAGTGGCCATATTAACCTGGCCACCACATGACTGCTTTGCGAAGTATTGCCAGTTTATCCTGCCTTACCAAGCGTTTGTATCTCTGCCTTCTTGCCACGTGTATGACCTGTTTATCTGTTTGTTTTGACTTCTCTTTTGGAGTACCCCTTTTGCCTGTTTGCCTGGTTGGACTGCCTTACTGTGTTTTTGACCTCATTGCCTGTTTTTACTGACCCTGAGTTTGGTTTTGTTGGACTGCTTCAATAAACGTCCGCATATGGATTCTTCCTTGGCTTCCGCCTCACCCTCATTACAGTTGTTTTATCATTTAATACTTGTCTGACATCTATGAGAAGCAAAATGTTCCATTTAAAAATGTTTTCCATTTCACCATTACTCTGCTGGTGAAGACACGATCTGACATTTACTGTAAAGGATGGGCAATCTCGTTGCTTAACAAAAGCAGCTGGAAGTGAGGTCAGTGTTAAATTGTCTTGTGCCAAGATGTGCTTTGGCATCAGTCAGTTAAGATTAATTTCTTAAACCAAACAATAGCCTTCTTTAAGAAGGAGAGGAGGAAAAGGGGGCTACTGCAGATACTGCATTGTGGGAAATTAGGTTTTGCATCTATATTTCTGGTCTAGGAGATTCTTCCTCAGAATCATCCATTCTAATTTTCAAAATGCATCCATTATAATTGTTAAATATATTATGTAATAATATATGAATATTATTATATTTGAATAAATATTCATATAACAATAGAACATAGCACTCCTTACTATGCAAAGGAAGCACAAAATAGGCAAGACCCTTATATGACGACTGATAGTAGTCTTACATTGTGCAAAACTAATGTGTGAAGAATCTGACCAAGACAAAAGAGTGAGAATTCATCTGCAGCAATTAATTTGCAATCTGAGGAAACAATATCCAAAATCCATCATTCAAAACAAACGAAACCAAAATTTGATCTTTAAAACCCTATTTATATTTCTTTTGAAACTGTTTGTGGCATCTCTTTTGTTCTTTTCCTTTTTCTTTTTTTCTTTGCTGCTGGTTGCAATTATTAATTCATCTCAATTTTAATGTCTGTGTTTTTTATTTCATGTTATTTTTTTAATTTCGATATTGCGCTCTTTGAATTTGCACAGCACTTTGGGTCAAATTGTTGTCCATAATTGTGCTGCATAAATGAATAATGAGATTACTTGTCTGTCTGATCTATAATCGTGGTAAGAGTGGCCTCTAGTGGGGAGTCCACAGTGTCACAACTTTAAATGAGACACTTATGCACTTGGTTTGAACTTTGTGCTGCATAAAAACACAATAAGTGAACTACTAACCACAATTCAAAAAATAATTTGCTAATAATAAAGCGAAACTACTTTGTTTGGCCTTCCAAAAGAGGACGATATCCGCTTCGTCATGCCTAGAGCTGATACGTGCTGGTCGCTGAGGAAATACATCAACTTCGCGCTGTGAATCGCTTGATTGGCTTTCACCGTGGACAAAGTGGAGTCCAGCCCGGGGTCGTCACATGTGGTTCCCGCAGGCCCACCGGCCGCTCCTTCGTCGAATCCGCCAGCCGCACCATTCTCTAGCCTGCCGTGTGTGACGCTGTGTGTCTCGTTGTGAAAGGGCAACTACTTTGTTTGGCCTTCCAAAAGAGGACGATATCCGCTTCGTCATGCCTAGAGCTGATACGTGCTGGTCGCTGAGGAAATACATCAACTTCGCGCTGTGAATCGCTTGATTGGCTTTCACCGTGGACAAAGTGGAGTCCAGCCCGGGGTCGTCACATGTGGTTCCCGCAGGCCCACCGGCCGCTCCTTCGTCGAATCCGCCAGCCGCACCATTCTCTAGCCTGCCGTGTGTGACGCTGTGTGTCTCGTTGTGAAAGGGCAACTACTTTGTTTGGCCTTCCAAAAGAGGACACAACTAGAAATCAGTGGTTAAGTTGTATTTACAACACTGTTCCAGAACAGTACAACCCAAATATTCAGACGTGTGCAGCGCATTTTGTGGAGGATGAGGACTGTTTCCTGTGAGAGTAGCCTACAATGCCGGTGTCTGTTTCTATAAAGTGGGGCAGTTCCAACTTTGCATGGACAGTCTGATTGGATTTAAATGTCTTTGTCTAGTTGCGCCGGGACACAGGGCATCACAGTATGGTAAGGGGCGTAACATTTCCATCACACGCTTGAGGTATTCAGCCAATCACAACGCACTGGATAGCTGGCCAATCAGAGCACACCTCGCTTTTCAGACCGATGAGCTTTGTAAAAATCGACAGCAAGCAGGGCATAGAGGAGCAACAATAATGTACATTATGTGGAAAATAATGTGTTTTTGAACCTTAAACCACATAAACACATTGCATTACACCAAATACACAACATAATGTTCTTTTTAGCCACGTCATATGACCCCTTTAAAATCTGTGATTAAAGGCAAAAACAAACTGAAGTCTTCACTACAAAATAGGCCATTAAACATTTACTTCAGAACTGTCTGTGAAAATTATACAGTTTATCACACTTTTTGTGTCAATATGTAAATCTTCTACAACTTATCTATAGTTAAAAATACCATATTTAAATTTGAGTTTAACTCTGCTCTCATGAAAGCTTTTTTAATATTTCAGTTCATGATGTTACATATGCCTATAATTATATCACTGTTCCCCTGTTTTTGAATTTATTTATAAAAAATATATAAATTCAAAACAAAAATAAAATGGCTGATGAAAGTGTTTGTAACAAATCAAGCCTCTGTGGCTCCTAATCCTTTTACTGACTCCATTTGCCATCATCCCGTACCTGGTGCTGATTACACTCACACCTATCCCCTATCCCATGAAATATTTAACCAGCATGCTCACACACTCTTTTTGCGAGGTTTTGTTTGCCGTGGCTGACAGTTCTGAATGTTATTCCCTGTGTATGACCCTGAACTGTGTAACTTGTTACGACTCTCTGCTGCATGCCTCTATAAGGGGTGCCATAATGGGGTGGAAGGACGATTCCAAGGGCCCGATGAGGGAGAGGGGGCCTGAAACGCGATTTTTAACGAGAAGGAACCACGAGTCAATATGCTGCTCAGGGGGCCCAGAAACAATAACGACACCCCTGACCTTTATACTATTGTCATGTTTGCCTGGATTAAGTTTGAACTGATTGCTGCCTGCCTTGAACATTTGCCTGCTTTGTGATTACGTCTCTGCTCTGCCTTTTATATACCTGTTACCGGTGATTGAACCCTGCCTGTTTGTACCGCGAGTAATTTTGTGAATAAAGCCGCACATGGTTTCTAACTCTGTTGACTCAGTGTTACAGAGGTGATGCATCAAGTACCACTGAAATATTTACATTTGCAATACATTTGTAACTCTCTCAAAGGAGAAAAGCTACGTATATATGTAAAAATAAATATGCATAGAATAAATATTCAGTATGCATTTATTTATATGTTTAATAAACATTAAGCTATTTTTCTTATAACATCAAAATACATAATTTTTGAGGAGAGAAAAGCTTAATGTGTATTTATTTATTAAAGAATATTTATTTATTCAGTTATATATATAATTTATTTTAATCAATAAGCACATTTTCCTTTCTTTTTCCTTCCTGATGTAATAATTAATGTATCAGAGGGTTAAGAACAACATTTACATAAATTTATGATGAAACCAGTATACAAAACCACTAAAAGAAAACCTTTCTCTCAAAACCTTATAGATACAGAGATAAAGCCCTTCTAACAACAACTCCCTGTGGCAGTCTGGCTCAGATTCATCTGTCTCCTTTTCTTCTTCTCAGAACTCATAGCATGAGCTGTTATTTTCAGAAGAGATCACATTTCAATTTAACATCAATGATTCAGAAAGGCTCATTTTCATTGAATGCTTTTAATATCACGCATCAGGACACCAAATCAAATGATGAGTCACAGCCATTTCTCATCACATTAGGTGCAGGAGTCTAAATGAATGCATTTTTGGTTTTGAGTGCATCAATGCAATCGAGACATTTTGAATAGGATAAAAATGTTGATTTAAATGGATCTATTTTTACCAAATAAAAAATGACTCTTTAAATGAAAAATGAATCACTTGTAAAAATGTGTATTGTTATATTTGCTGAAAAACCCACTTAATGCTTGTTTTATTCAAGACAGTATTCTGGAAATCTAATTACATTCTTTTGAGCGTGAGTAGAACCATGGCATTAATATTTCCCTGATCACAAACCTGTCCAAACTCATAGCGGTCATGACTGCAGCGCACGCCACCTGGTTGCAGTTGTCAAGAGAGGTGATAATGGTGCAGAGGGTGCTGCCGAACACCCAATGCCCTCCACGCGCCCACTGGTGTATCAGGAACGGCATGACAGTCACGTGGACCAAGTCGGCCACAGCCAGGTTCCCCACGTAGACATCTGGCACTGTCTTTTTGGCAGACCTGCAAGAAGGACAAGAAAGAATTTGTTGTGATATGTGGTCCCTTGATGAGATACTGCTGAACAAGGAAATGTGTGAAAAGAAAACTGCAAGTTGCAAACAGGGTTACATAACCTCCAGTTTGTGACAGCTCCAGTGCGGTTGGGTCATGTCTAATTCCTGAGTGAATCCATCCACTGGAGCTGTGAAAATCCTCTGAGGAATTCCCCCACAGCTAATTAAAGAGGCTACTGTTATCGGCCATTTCCAGTGCCATGGTTCACAGCTCACATCACTTTTCACATCAGCCTCAATATTGGTTTGGTGTGTCCCTTATGTGCCATATTTTATGCATGTATGCAGTCTGTGTATGTATTTATGTATATATGTATGCATGTATGTAGCCTATGTATGTATGTATGCAGCGGTGTAGTCTAGTTTTTTAGTGAGTATACTGTAATTTTCCCTCCCAGCCTCCTACTCACCTCTCCCAGAGCGACACCCCATAAGCACCACCACACTCACTAATGCATACAGTATATATACATGTAACTGAGAGCATTCTGAAAGACTGCTTATGTGATATCAACATGTCAATTTATTATAAGCAACACAAGACTTCGTTCACAAGAGGGATCGTTCACCCAAAAATGAAAATTCTGACATTAATTACTCACCCTCATGTCGTTCCAAACCCGTAAGGCCTTCGGTCATCTTCGGAACACAAATTAAGATATTTTTGATGAAATCCAAGAGCTTTCTGACCCTGCATAGACAGCAAGGGAACTACCATGTTCAAGGCCCAGAAACGTAGTAAGGACATCGTTAAAATAGTCCATGTGACATCAGTGGTTCAACCGTAATTTTATGAAGCTACGAGCTACGAGAATACTTTTTGTGTACAAAGAAAATTAAAATAAAAACTTTATTCAACAATTCTTCTCTTCCGGGTCAGCATTCGCCACCATTCATGGGAGTATGAAGAGAGTACGAAGGTCTTACGGCTTTGAAACGACATGAGGTTGAGTAATTAATGACAGAATTTTCATTTTTGGGTGAACTATCCCTTTAACAGCCAATGACATTTACAGCTGGGGAGACTGGACTGATTTGACTGTTTAGTGTTAATCATCTAATTCAGCAAGAGCTACATTTATCCTTAGATGTTATATGAACATGGTCCCTGGAGCACAGGTTTTATCAGCTGGCAATTTTCGATGCACATTTAAGAGTGCCTGTTTTTAAATTCCCTAGCCTGACTTTCAGTCCACAAGGCTGACCAGGAGTTCTCATCTCTCTCATCATCTGAAACAAGGAGATATAAAAACTTTACTTCTGTACACAGACACACACATACACAGTATCTAAGTTATCTCTCCCCTTCTCCCGCATTCATTGATCCACCACACTACAGTTAGTGAAGTTATTTGCTAGTTATGTTGGCTTGAGAAAGCCAGCATACTGTTATACTATTTAAACATCTTATTATTCTTTTGAGACCCAGAATTTTTAACTGTACTGTATCTCCTCCTAGGGCTTTAATGCTACAAGCACCAAACTCTGCAGAGAACTTGGACCTCATCTGTAGTTTGTTGCTATATCTTTTCTAACTTATCGGACTTACAGTTTTCTTATAAATAATTATCCAAAATCTAAAATTTCCCATAGACTTCTTAAATTGGTTGAGCAAAAATGCCCCGTCTAAAAGACAATTGCAGTCCACTAGAGGGAGCCACAGGATAAGAAATCTTTCAACTCTCATTTACTTTCTTTTTCAATTAGGTAAATTTACAAATAAATGCATGCATTTCCTTTATGCTCCCAAGCAAAGCTAACATATTTGATCGTGACCAGGTCAGGACTCGAGAATAATGACTGTCTTATGGGAAAAACGCTCGGGACAGATCACTGCTCCCATTGGGGCAATGCTGCCTCCTCACAAAACTTTATCATTTGCATGTTTTTCACAACGTTTTATGCCTTGCAAATTAAAACATTCAAGTGTAAGATAACATGAAAGAACTCTATTCAGTGCTTACAAGCTGTTTTGTGTGACAGAGAGCCACGTCCTTGCTGCCCTTGGCGCGTTCACTTTCGCTTCTTCTAGCGCTTGAACGGACACACTCATACAAAATCATGTCAAAATACATGACATCATGGCGAATATCATGGAAAACAGTCGTTTATGACTCAAGTGAACAAATTATTGAGAAATAAATAGGATGTGGATCATTAGCTATTAGATTCGTGCATTAAAGCAACCGCATTTACCAGTTCCTGTCTGTCTTTTAATGCCATCGATCTCTTGCTGTTACAGTTACGGTTAATAATAACATATATGCTACGTTTACTTACCAGGTAACGTTATAGCATGGTTTTCTGTACCGCGCAGGATAGTAGCAGCCTCATCTGGCTCATTTTCTGTAGTTTCTGTAATGTTAACGTTCGTTTCATCTGCTGCAGCTTCAGGGACAGGCTTACGAAAACACTGAAAGTGTGTAGTTTAAGTTTGATTTGGTTTTACATCTCCTTTAGTGATTCACATTATAGTCAATTTAAAACTTAAGTCTTGCGCACACTCGATGCTGCGCAAGAGTTGTGCAATTGCACTGATCGTCAACAGAAACACAGCGTGATTTTCAAATAGTCAGTGCTTCGCATTCGCAACACAGACGGGGTGAATTTACATGTGAAAGTTCTGTCACAAAATGATGTTGTTTCGTATCTTCACGCTTTTTTAAGTGGGTATATGGACATCCTCGACCTTAGTGGGTCTAAGGCTTATCACGTAGACTACACCACTGTATGTATGCATATATGTACAAGCAAAACTAATTGATACTGTATCAGTTTTGCATTTTAATTTTAATTTTGATGCTCAGTGATTATGTTCATAATGAAAAGCAAATGAACAAATCTGTGCTACATATAAATATGTTTTTTGAATGACATAGTGGAAAAGAAATAAGGCAAATAGAAAGTAATATTTCTTTAATATGTGATTTGGCTAATAAAAACATTTTGATTAAGAAAAAATTTATTAAGATAATTTTTTTAATTATCAAATTAAATGATCTATAATGTGAGCCAAAATCATCACAATTAAAAGAACCAAAGACTTAAACTACTTCAGTCTGTGTGAGTTGAATTTATTTAATACACGAGTTTCACAATTTGAGTTGAATTACTGAAATAAATGAACTTTTCCACGACATTCTAATTTATTGAGATGCACCTGTATAATTAAACTTGCATGAAAAATGAACCAGATATTAAATGTATAGTGGCAGTATCTCATTTAAGCTATACAATTATTAAAACTATCAAATCCAATTCTATCCTTTCAATAATGATTTCAAAAACATTCGTAAATCTTTATAAACATGCTTTATTATTTGTTATGTTGTGATTACATTAGATTGAGTTTCTTTGGAATTTGACATATTTCTTTCTACCTTTAGTCTACACAGGTATTTGTCTATGTAGAAAGAGAAAATCTTCAACCACAAATACCATTCCAGGTAGAGGTATAGCCTATAAAAGCAATAACGAATTTAACATGTCATTAAGTTAATGTATTTTTTTTTCTTCTTTTTTATAATATTTGAACAAATGCGAAGTAGGCTAAATAAATTAAATATATAGTTTTGCCTCGTCAACCTGTAAACTCACCTTAAAATAGTCACCAAAACAAGAATATTTCCAACAAGCCCGGTGGAGCACAAAAATCCAATAAATGCAGGAAGAATTTTGGTTTCCGTTACGTGAACAATATTATAATAGTCATCTGCTGGATATCCTGCTGTCTCATTTGCGCGCGTGCTGTTGTCTAATTTGAGCGTTAAGTTCCAAACAACAGGTTCCAACTCCACCATGGTGCTCATCATTTGCGTTTCATTCTGATCGACGAGACTGTGCTGTATGCGGTGACACCACACGTAGTTTTATGTCCATGGAAAGTCCTGGTAGATTTCAGCATCCTCATCATTCCACACACAATGCGCACTGGAGTCTTCACTCTCACCAGCGCGCACGCAGCCCCTTGTTACCAGTCAGTGACTCACTCCAACTCGATATCATTGACTGATAATATTGACAAGGATTTTACGAAATTTTGTCGCACATTCGGTCCTTCTTCAATAGCCAATCAAGCGGCACTAAACCAATAGCGCCACTTTTAAGTTTATTGATTATTTGCACTGAAGTGGAAAGAGTGTGATGCATTTAAAGTGTCATAATTTAGGTATTTGAATTTGAAAATTTGAAACATATCAAAAGACATCAAATATAGCCTAATATATTTATAACTGTCGTTAGAAAAAAAAATCTATCTATCTATCTATCTATCTATCTATCTATCTATCTATCTATCTATCTATCTATCTATCTATCTATCTATCATAATACCGTTCAAAAGTTTGGAAACGTTACAATCTTTTTATTGATATATATCAATGAGGCACAACTGTTTTCAACATGCATAATAATAAGAAATATTTCTTAAGCAACAAATCAGCATATTAGAATGATTTCTGAAGGGTCATGTGACACTGGAGTAAAGGCTGCTGAAAATTCATCTTTGCCATCACAGGAATAAATTCCATTTTAAGATATATTATATCAAATAAAAGAGTTCTTTTAAATTGTAAAAAATAGTTCACAATATTAGTGTTTTTACTGTATTTTTGATCAAGTAAATGCAGCCTTGGTGAGCCTAAGAGACTTATATATACAGTGCATATACAGTATATGCAGTCTCACAGAAAACTGAAATTTAAGAAATTATGGTTTAATCAGTGCTCCATAAGGACCTCTTTTATTTCACCTTGTGAATTCATTGACAAAAAACATTTATATTTTACATGTATGCATTAGTACAATTTATTCTAAGTTGCTTATTCAAGGTTTAATTCGTCAATATATGCATTTCATATTTTCATTGCAATTGAACAATGACCTCGGTGTTGCTAGCCTGATACTGTTTGAGCTACAGAAAAAAAAGGAAAAAAAAACCTACCATCTGATAATTTTCGTAGGGAAAATTTGCTCTTACCAGCATTCAATCTTTTGGATGAGAAAAAGTATTAATGAGATTCATTGGCATAGCTGTACCACCATAAGCAAATTCTCTGATTCCTCTTTAAATGAAGGAGTCTTAATGAAATGTAAATGGTGCCATCATGCCGGTGTTCCTGCTTGTGTTACCTTGGTTACATTTGCTTGATGTGTCATCAGTTGGCCATAAAGTATACATACAGTGAAGATCATAAAAATACAACTTTTCTCTTCTAACATGAAGAGAATTCCTTTTTTTACCATTTCAAATTTTTCTTTGAAAAATGAACACTCTAGATTTCATTAATGTACTAAAGCAATAACTGTGCATATAGTTCATATGAAATGACAGGCAGAGACAGAAAACTTGTTTTGAGTACATTAAAAATTAATCAAAGGCTTTATCTTCGAATCCATCGAGGGCTGTAGATCTCGCAGTGTGGGTTCCTAATCTTTATTTAGATTTCTTTAAACATTTCTCTGTGATATATCACCTGAGACGGCTGTTGTCTCAGGAAGCTTCTCATTAAACATGATTGACATGCAAATCCCATCGTTTCCCACTGTAGGAATGATGTAAATGTGCAACTAAAGAATATAGTCTTTGATTATAATTTCTGTTTCACGAGTTCACTCTTACATATGATCAGATAGAGTTAAGGTTATGCATATTTGGCGTGCTGTCCGAGGGGAGGGCTCCAAGCTCAGAATTTGACCCCAACCCAGAGTACTCCCCCCGTGCACCTAGTTGGGATAGGATCAAGCCAAGAGTGAGGAGATGGGGTGGTGGAGGGATGCGGAAATCTGTCGAGGAGCGTAGGTGGGTCGGCCATGAATATATATAGGCCTCTTCTCAAGCTGATTGGGTAGATCATTTGAACATGCTCCTCCCGAACTTTGCTTATAAAACATCATGTCTTAAATCCACAGATTTTGAGGGTATTCCCGAAGGAACAGCATGTTCCAGCAGCACAGATCTCAGCACTTGGTAAATGTACAACAAATTGCAGTAATTGATATGTTTATCTGGCCAAACCCACAGTGATATAATAAGTGGAGTGTTTGCATTGATGACCAGAAATGAATGAATATTACACAGTACTCTGTCTGAAGAGGAAAGCAAGTTTTACTATGGTCATGTAAAGGTAACGGAAGAACAGTGGCCAAATAGATCAAGAGGGGGGAACAGACAGCTTCACTGAGTACTAGTTGAACCAGGTGGAAAAAGTGATTTTAGCTTAAAAGACAAATTTATTTTACAGTTGTTGACAGGTTTTATTGGCAATTTGAATAATGTTATCAAACCATAATGTTGGCAGAGTTGATGTATTTTTTTTATATACAGAATTTCTCACCTAAAATAGATGGAAAATGCTAACTATGGAAAATCACTGGCCGCCAAGTGAACTTATTTGCCTTAAAGGGACTTTTTTGAAATAGACAATTTTGTCTTCAGATCTCACTCCAAACCTGGCATTTTAAAAGATAATTAAGACAATGTTGTCTCTAAATACATCACCTGCATAAATACATACTAAGAACAATGGCATCAAAAAAGCCTTTATAAAGCACTCAGCTGGCAGCAATGATGGCTCATTAAGTTCTGCCAATGTTTTCAACACAAGCACTTCAACAGATTCAGTGTAACTGCTACAGGAAGTGTACCAATTAATTAGTAGTTGCAGAAACATCTTCAGATATTGGTTATGGTGTTAAAATAATGTGCATGATGCAAAAATCTCTACTTTATAAATCTGGAGGAAGAATTTTGCTTTTATTGAAGAGAGTGACTCATTAGGCAAGATTTAGATATTACAAGTATTTTAAAGGTGAAAGGGGCTTGATAATTATGGTCTGATGAAAGCATATATATATATATATATATATATAAATAATGAGCATCTACAGTGTTGTATGTTCCCTCATGCATCCTGATTAACGATTTATGGACGATGAGAAATGTAAAGAATTCCAATGTACTGAGTAACTCTCATGAAATTGAAATAAATGACATTTTATTAAGGATATTTTTTTGTTTACAGTACTGTTCAGTATTACAATCATGTCAAGAAATCACATTTAAAACAGAAACAGAATTGTCATATTCTAAATCTCATTCTGGTCTGTGTATTTTGGAGGTCACAGTTTGCACGTTTGGACAGCCATGGCATTCTCAGGCCAGCTGTACGAATCCACTGCAAACTCTTCATAGTCTGTGCTGAAGATAAGCGAATGAACAAAAGCCTCTTTATCATGCGGCTCCGGATGCAGAGTTGCCATTTTGTTTTTGTAGGCATACTCCACAATCTGTCATGATGCACATAAAACGATTATGTTAATAAAAAAAAAAACACAAGCACAAAGAATCTGTAAACAGCAACATGCATGAATCACGGCTGTAGCTTGAGAGCCGAGCTCACCTTCACAGCCAGCTTGATGGAAACTTCCCGGATGCTGTTGAGAGGAGGATACAGACGCCCCTCTGCAAGATCCTTCTCGGTCACCAGTTCCGCTATAGCCTGTAAACACAGGTCAAACTGATGATTATCATAAACTGAACATGTAGACAATACAGTATGTCTAATTGCACCATATGTGCACACACACACAAGAGTTTGAACTTAATTATTCTTCTCTTGTTTGTTTTTCTGATACAACTGCATCAAATATTCATCCTGTTTTCCCACTGGTTAGAGACGTGGATTACACAGGCAGGAACAAGTGCGTTTTTCTTGCCTGTGACCAGCCAGATTAAATCAAAAACAGAAAGAGACCAAATTAATAACTAAAAGATTTATTTGGCTTAGACTTAAACCAGATTTTCTGTTCAGCCTCTGGTCTGTAGTACCAGTATTGTTATTGTTAAAAGGATAGTTCACCCAAATATGATCATTCTGTCATGAGAATCATGCCTCATGTCATTACAAACCTGTATGACTATCAGAAGATGGTATCTTAAAGAATGGTTGTAGTTAAAAAGTTTTGGTTCCCATTGACTTCCACTGTATGTACAAAAAATTACAATGGAATTCAGTGGGAACTGAAACTGCTTGGTTATCAACTTTCTTCTTTTGTGTTCAGCAGAAAAAAAAGTCATACAGGTTTAGAACGACATGAGGGTGAGTAAATGATGAAAGAATTTTAATTTCTGGTTTTATAAGCAGAAATAAAATACAGAGATGAAAAAATAGAAATGTTGCCTTCGCAATTACCTGCAATTAACTAATAAAAATGATAAAAGCACACAAGATTACTAAAATTAAAACATACAAAAGTGATGAATTCTATAATATATATAATATATAAAGAACACTAAACAACACTAAGTGATACAGAATTAGAACTACAGGTCAACTGGTTAAATAACTGCAAGAAGCTCCTGCAGCTTCAATTGAACTAAAACCAAAGCACCGCTGTGGTGCTTCATTGTGCCACCCTCAAGATAATTTCTTTTTGTAAATACTAACAGTCTCCAAACCTTTTGGCTCTACTACAGCAATCTTGACCAGCAATAACAAGGCATATAACATCACAATAAGTTTTAGTCATTTTACAATTTAGACCTAATTAATACAGACAACTAAATTATCCAGCCACCATCAGCTATAGTTAATCATTATTCTTGTTGCTCATTATCTTATTGGTTAATTTACATCCATTCCCCATCTCACCCTCTATTTCTCTCAGTTAGTTTGCTTTGTGTACCACTTTGCCATTTCACATTCACATTCCATTCCTGAGACTCGATAGTCCAGAACCATAACTTATTGAAATACACAAAAGGGTAGTAGGACCAGCAGGGATTGAGAAATGTAATCATTCCCTCCTGCTGCCCAATGCTGTTTGAAGTCCAGACATCCACACTGCAGCTACACTGGAGCAGGAGAAGTGATCCAATTCAATCTCGGAGTACATCAAATCATTCTCCTTCATTGGCACATGCTGATATGACATGTGGGGCTGTATGGCCTTGACTAACATTTTAGGCTGCAATGGGCAGCAGTTCTGTTTCCAGCAGAACAGGACAGTGGTTCATTGAGATTCAAACCAGTTCTCTTGTTTACCCCGTCTGATGCAACCATCCACAGTACCTGACTACAACACTGTCTGGCTGATATCAGGTGAAGCACGGAACACAGCTTGACAGATAAGTTCAGCAAAATACAAGATGACATTGCACACAGTGATAAGATGGACGACGTTCGCATATTGTAATGGGATTTTATGGTTTATTTCAAGCATGTAAATTTAGAGTAGTTCAATCAGCGGATCCATCTAAGAGCAGATATATTAGGGATCCGCTGATAGACGGATCAAACGCTCCCGTGTGTATCTGTGCAAGCACTCAATGTAGCGAATCACAGACATACTGTATCTGTTGAGCGTGTGAACACAATGGCCAATCAGAGGTGTTTAAGGATCCACTCAACAGTGCCCAAATTGTTAACGGCAAATGCTGGAATCATCACATTTCAGAAGACTGGTACTTAAGTCGGTACTTTTCACAGCCCTATTTCTTATTATTAAATAATTGTCCAAGCATTGTAACTTAAGCACATTTTTAGGTTTATAGGATCACAAACTCACACCTCCATCGTGAATTTATCTTCAATCTAACGCATGAGTTTTATCACTGAAGAACCATGCAGACTTATTTTTACAACTTATTTTTACTGATTGGGACTTTAGAGACAGACAGAAAAAAGCAAGAGAGATTCGATCACCTCAGCCGTAATGAGGAATATATTCTCAGGGATATGTCTCATTGCACAAGCGGTGACCCCCAGTCCCACTCCAGGAAACACATAAGCGTTGTTCCCCTGACCAGGGTAGAACTTCCGCCCATCGGGAAGGGTTACCAGATCAAAGGGACTTCCGCTTGCAAATATCCCCCGTCCCTGTAATATAAAACGCAGAGTCGAAAATGAAACCAAATGTTTCACTCTCTCACACAAATGTACACACGTGACTCCTCAAAAGCACCTCAGTGAGTGTGTAGCACTGCTCAGCAGTGCACTCTGCCTTGCTGGTGGGGTTGCTTAGAGCGAAGATTATAGGTCTCTCATTGAAGGATGCCATAGCCTTGATTATCTCCTCTGTGAAAGCACCAGTGATAGCTGCCACCCCTGAAGAGAAGAGAGGAATTTGAGTACAATAGTGCTAGGAAAACAGCAGTGTATATTTATTTATATATATATATATATACCAATTATAGCGGTGGGTTTCAGCTCCTTCACTACATCCTCAAGCTTTTTCATTTGAGCATGCTCATGTGCAAACCTCTCTTTCTCATGGGTGAGGTGATCCCGACCCTGAATGGGAGACAGAGAGATAACAGAGAAAAAGACAGATGATGAAAGCGTATCGGAAACATAATACAGCACACCTCGCTGCAATGATAATGAACACAGATTATGAAGGCACAAAGAGACCAGTGGGTTGAAAATAATCAGAAATGGCACACAAAAGTGAAGTTAGCACTGACAAAAGGTCCAGAATCAAAAGATTCTTGAGAAGGTCTAGCACATGGCATTTGGTTTGATATTTTATCTAAAGGAACTAAATTTATGCACTTTTCATTAAAAATAAAAGTACAATCAAAAGCAATTTTAAAAAAGTATAATGTGTATGTGTGTGTGTGCACGCACGCATTTTTTTCATGTATCTAAATGTCTATATTTATATCATCTGTTCATGGGATGTACTTAAAGTAAGATTCTTACTCCAAGAAGTTCCAGAGAAGTGGACAGCAACTGGTGTAACAGAGATCGTCTAGATGAAAGTGTCACTATCAAAACCTCTCTGATCTCTTTGTCATTAATAATGTAACTATTAATGTAATTATCTGTTTAGCTTAAAATGACAATTCTATTGAAGTTGAATCAGTTTTTAAAAAATTCTAATGAAGAGCTACAGTAATATTCATGAACAACCAATTAACACGATTGAATAAGAAGAGTATAAACTCCAATACAAATCACATAGTGTGTTTGAATGTCAACACTAAATGTAAAAAACCTTTAATGATAACCTCACCTTAACGATAAGTCCTTTAGAGTCCACCATCCAGATTTTCTTTATACACTGCTCACGAGGAAGCCCCTCTTTCTTCATTGCCATAATGATGAGCTCAGCTATGCCCATTGCAGCCTGAAAACATAAAAATGCTGTTACAAACCTACATTTCACATAGACTTGAACACATCTAAAAATATGTGTGAACTCTGTGCACTTCACAATATTTCAATAAAAATCTCACAGCTTGACTCAAATAATGAATCTTTAATGAATTCATTCCATACATCTTAAAAGACACAAGAATCATTTAATACATTTTTTTAAGTTTTATTGAAAGAAAAGACGAACCGTGGAATATTTGCATCCTTGCACTGCTGTTGTTCACTCAATATGGATCAACAACAATCAAAATACTGGAAAATTGGCATTTAAAACTGTTATTTGTGGATCTGTGCAGCCAACAGACTCACCTCCCCTGCACCCTGAAATACAATGGTATGGTTGCACATTTTGCTCTTGGTAATGCAAAGGGCAGCCAGCAGTCCCGCCACAGCCACAGCAGCAGTACCTATGGGATGGGAAACACAAACATCTTTCACTCAGGAATTATCTTATCTCTGAGGTAAACAGCAAAGCTGTTCATAAAAGGATGAGCTGAGGCTTGAGTCTCAACTCTGGAAGCTCATTAATTGTAGACATAAAGATGGAGTTAATGTGGAGGTGGATTTCCGGAGGAACTGTCAAAGGAGTGAGATAAGCAGATGTTTATATATTCTGTCAAAGAAGAAATCCGCTGTAAATGCTAGAGATCTGCTGATTGGGGGTGAGTCAATTAAATGGACAGCAGTGTGGCTGTCTTCAGACTTCAGTCTAGCTTGCTTTCAATACACGGTCAATAAAATCATTATAGATATGCGTGATAACAGTTGGAGAATTGTAAACTTTACTTATGTATGGCCCATATATTTACCACGTAATTATACAACAGCCACAGCCTAGACCAGTGGTTTTCAACCAGGGGGCCTCAACAAACTGCCAAGGGGCGGCAGGATGACTTCAAAGTATATAAATTAATAAATCATATATCTATATATCTATATATATATAGATATATGAACAATATCACACGAGTAGACGTGAGATATGGCTGTATATCGGCACGTCTGTGATTCGGCAGTAGGTAATCACAGTGTGCCAATATATACAGCGATATCGCACGGCTGTGAGTGTGATATTGCATTTATACAACAGTTTGATGGCACGAGTGTGTAAATACATAAGAAATTTGTTAAATTATTTGTTCAAAGAGTATCTTTGAAAACCCTTTTTTGTGCAAACTAGAATAGAAGTCACTGACTTTTTGCGACAGATGGGATACAGTTTATGGCACTTCTTATTTATTCCTATGGTATCCGTACACGCCGATTGACTGTCGCACAACTGAAATTCAATGACTTCAAGGCTATAATGTGATCGCCTAAAAAACTCTTAAAACTGCATTCCGTGACACATAAACTGCATTATTTATAAAATTATAGTGGATTTGGGCGTCCACTGTGACACTCGTTGTGAGAAATACAGCAAGCGGACTGATACAGATGGTTGGAGTTCCTATATCACTTGAATATTGCACTCCTGGAAAAGGCTCTCAGCCAATCAGAATCGAGGACCAGAAAGAACACACACACACACACACACAACCGTTCTTACTGGATCTTTGTTGACGCAGAAGCAACTCAACGTTCCTTCGTTACTAGTTCATTACTAGTTCTAAAGAACTGGTGTATAAATAAATATATATATATATATATATATATATACACACACATATATATATATATATAAACTCTAACCTAAATTAAAATGCTGGAAAAAACATAAAATGAAGATGTAAACTGAAATCATATTTCCAAATCATAAATTGAAAACTTCTGGAATCATAAAATAAATAAACGTTAATTAAGATATTAAATTAACCAGGTTAATTAATTCAATAAAAAGATACCAGAAATATCTTAGCATACATGGAGGGGAGCCTGAATATTGTGACCTTGTGAAAAAGGTTGAGAACCATTGACCTAAATGCATCAAAAATGTGCAAACTGTATATGAAATATGAAACGAGCACTGATAGGAGCACAAGAAACTCAAATAGCTCTCATATAAAATAAATTGAAAACGCCCGCTCAGCTCCGCTCGCTCCACTCCAGTGGACATATATGGTTAACTCTGTGAACGGTGAGATTAACTCAACATGCTCCTCCCAAACGTTTGATTGAAACTCAATTTCAAATAGTGTGATTGTGTTCAAGTTGTTGATTGGTATGTGCCTGCAATGATTGTGTAAAAAAGGATAAAGACTGAGAGGGGAGGATGGTAGAAAAGAAAATAGAAGAAAAATGCACTCCAGATAACCACCCCTTGCTACTGAACCATAAATACAAGAGGGATATTAAGCAACAGTAGGAAGGAAAATCAGAGTGAGAGATATGGTCTAAATGACTAACTTACAATCATTGATTTCTGGACTACACTATAGACTGAGAACCAGCTTAAACATAACATTATGACTCTTTTTATTAATCTAAAGCATAACTTAGACTGTCTGTGTTCTGTGTGCTTTAATAAATTTTGTACAAGAGAAAATTCAAAACCAAAAAAGCAGTGTGCCACTAAAGTCTCTTTTTGTGCCCATACCTTGGATGTCATCATTGAACGTGAGGTACTTGTTGCGGTATTTGCTCAACAGACGGAAGGCGTTGATGTTGGCAAAATCCTCAAACTGGATAAGGCAGTTCACCCCATATCTGTACATAACATAAAAATCAGTGTATATTTCTTCAGAACGCAGAAACACAACAAAACAAAAGATAAGCTCAAAGCCATTTGTTTTAAGTACAAAGAATCCTTACAAAATGGTCCAAATCCTCACAGTACCATTTCATGTTAAGTGGCTAGTTAAATGCACTCTGTTTCAGCCTGCAGAGGGGGCCATCCAACTGCTCCTCAAGCCTATCCCAGATGGGGTGGTTGTGGGTGTTCAATCCTGAAGGTTTTTTCCTTCTCAGTGTGGGCCTGAGACAGTTATCATTACTTTGTAATCATTTCCACAGCCAAACACAACTCTTAATGGTCAGAAAAGCAAATAACAACCCTTGTATGATCAGTCAGCAAATGATGTGGTAACACCGTGGCCTCTAATTCTCCCATTGGTAGATAAAAACCTGCCAAAATGATATTCAAAATCAATAGCCAATGATCTGCACGCCCACAATCGCGTCTCTCTTGAGGACAGATCTTCATGAGAAAAATGGTGGATTTTTGAATGGACTGCAGCGCCAATTCAGTGGTTTCTCTGGTTATTTATCCAGTCAGCAGAACAATTGAAAGAACAGTACAAAGCAACCAACTGATTCCCCAGTGGAATATAAAGAGCAGATTCAGGTCCATCATATTTTGATGTAATTTTCGAGGTCCCAGACACCTAGACATGGAAAACAGGACGGGTAAACAACACAGTGTGGCTCCATAGAGAGCTGGCCTGTCACTCAACCCAATGCAAGATGAATAGAGATCAGCATTGTTGCCAAGAGCTGTCGTGTATACATATCACTCAAACACACAAGGGGGAAAATCGCTCACTGTATTCACAATGACAGTTGTCTCCTGAAGCATCCAACCGTTTCTTTATTTCTATTAACAAAATCATAAAGAGAAACTACAAAATGAAGAAAAAAACAACAACATCACCATAAATGCATCGATACATGACATGTGTGAAGTGTTATTCAGTCTGTTAAACTCATCGGGCCAAGTGAGTTGAATTTGGCAACTGAATCAGTCTGGTTTCTGCAATGAATCACTCAGGGGTGAATTTCTCATAGAACAATGTTGCAAATCTGTCATTCAAAGCATCAAGTTGTTTACAAAAAAAAACTGTTGTTAAAGACTACAACTAGAACTATTGTTTATAATTAATTAGTTTAGAAATTGTATAAGTGTCAAATTGTTTGCTGTAAATAATGAACATGGCATCTAATGACTATGACTTTTTTTCTCCACCGTTTTGCATTATTTTCAGATGATAGATTCAGTTGTGGTTCACTCTTGCATCATAGAGCACATTCACGCATGCACATTCTTCAAAAATTCGAGCAGATCTCACAAAAGCTATTGTATAGCTTCAGAAGACTTGGAAGATAGCATATAAATAATTTTTTTATTATACTTAAATGGTGCTTCTATGTCATTTTAACATTCGAAGAGTAGCCATTATATTATTCAAAAAATGTATTTCTAGTCAAACAGGTTTAGAACCACATGCAGAGAAATTAAATTTTTGGTAAACTAATCCTTTAAGTAATATAAAATGGCCAGTGTTGCATATTCAGACATGCTACAAAAACAGAAAAAGGCAATAAATGTTTTCATCGTCTCCACTTTAACTGAGTTCAGAATCTCATGCAAAGTTTTAAGAAACCTTATCCTGAGACCCGGCCTCAGATTGGTCCTTCTAATCAAACTGCAGTCTAAACTCTGACATATCTGCTGCAGGAGGCAGGAAAGCAGTCAAGAGAGACTGACAGAGTAATTGCTCATGGATTTGCAGGAGAACTTTGGCAGATATAAATAGGACGTAAAGAAAGTGAGTCATAATCCCAGCATGCTCTCTGATCTGTTGAAGTGCATCATCTGAGGAGGAAGATGAAAAATGAAATCATAACCTCCTGATCTAGCACAACAGTGTTTGTAAAAGATGTCAATATTAGCATAAGAACAAGAAAAATTGCTGTCAACTAAATACTGTTTAACATTTGAGGTGATACAGAGTTAATTATGGCTCTCAGGGGTTTATTTTGAATTAATGTGATTGAGAGAGAGAGAGAAAAAGACAGAAACTACTAGGCGACAAAACAAAGCACCCATTCGGTCCATTGTGGTCTCATTCTCACCAAAGCTTGTTGTTTTTTTCTGGCACTTTGTTCAATGGGATCCATAATACACCTCTGCGTCTGTTGTAAAACTCAAACAAAGAGCTGGCTGGAGATCAGCTTCACTGGTCCTCTCCACCAAAATTCAGGCCAGACAATGACAGACACACCCAAGCACATTGAGAGCTGCAGGAACTCTGTCTCTTCTTATTTGCCTTTACCTCCAGACAGGGCAGAAAGTGTTGGTAGTATTGAGAGGTGCTCTTCAAACCAATATTAAGTCAACTCAGTGCTCTAGGACAGCTCTGCCATGCTTTTCAGACCAGAAAAAGCATGAAAAAAATCCCATTTTACAAACTTGCTTTGATTCTGTAAGAGTTCTCTAGATCAACAGATCAGCATCTGAGAATGAAGAAACTTCCTAGGCTGGAATAACAACTTTTCTAAAGAGTTTTCTCCACGAGCCCTCTAGTTACTGCACTTCTTTTGAACCTATTGGCATTTTGTACTTTGGAAAAAGGCACAAGCAAGTAGTGATAACACACCTGTGAGTCTGTTGCCAGCAGAGTTGAGCCAAAATTGCAAAAAATGCAAGACAATTAATTTTTCTGAAGATCATTAAAACAGACATTATTTTCATGACAAAAAAACAACAACCACTAACTGCCAAAACTGTGATGTGAAAATATCCTATTCCATGACTAATACAAATATTATGCACTGAAGTTATATAATATTTATTATAATTAGTTTTTTGTTCATTTTTGGTTAAAAAATTTAATAATTACATTTTTTTGTATTACATTCTAATAAAACAATCATAATAAGAATATGAATAAAGGAATAATAAAATAAGTTAAAAATAGATAATAAAAGTAAAAAATAAATAATATAAAAATGTTTTAAAAAATACTGTATAGAGCTAATTGCTGTAATTTAATACTTACCTATATATAATCTAATGTGAATCATGGAAACACACAGATAAAAATTATTTCTGCAGTTAATTTTTAGGCTGGATATTTTGGTTCCTAAAATGTAGAAAAAACGGATACTTCCAAACAAACACACACACACACACACACACACACACAAACATACACATTAACTGTAACATTCAGAATGACCTATCAAACGAACAGAGCAGCCTCATATTAGTGCCGGCATTAATACACACACGCTACATGTGTAAACTTACACATGGCCAACTCCTCAGCTCAGAGACATAAACACCTGTACATTTAGAGCCTTCATTAATTATTTTCAAAATTCTACCATGCACCACACTCTATGTCAGGAATTTGGAAGCTGAAGACTGTAGCCAGCAAATTCTATACAAACCATAATGCACTTCAGTCTCTGTCTAAATGGTTTTGGTAAGGAAACTAGGCTTCATCACTCCTAAAGAGGAATGCAGTAAATTGGCTCAGAGCCCATGAGAGACTGCTAACGTCTCGGGTTACTTATGTAACCATGGTTCCCTGAGTAGGGAACGAGACACTGCGTCCTCTAGGGGTCGCTATGGGGAAAGCCTCGTCGTGACCCGTGTCTGAAGCATACATTGAAAAAACACCAACTCGTTGGCCGGCGACAGCCATGACGTCACTACCGGTGCGACTACAGTATAAATCGGTGCCGGGAGCTACACATCATTCACTTCTTCGTCTGAAGCTTGCGTCCGCAGCATGGCTGGCTGCCCCTCTTTACTTGAAAAGAGAGACCAACGAGAACGGAGTTTTTTCATTGGAGAAAACTCGCAATGCACGCAGATTGCCCCCTCGAGGACATCGCGTGCGTGCTCCTCGCCCAAACAAACAACACATAGATCGTGTGTGTCATCTGGTGTCAAATAGCGCTGACACGGATGCACACACCTTCTAAATGCTCTACTAGTGCTCGCCATAATATTAATAGATAGCTCTTACTTTTTCCTTGAAAATGCACGCTTCAAACAGAACAGTCAATGAAGACGAAGAAGAGAATGATGTGTAGCTCCCGGCACCGATTTATACTGTAGTCGCACCGGTAGTGACGTCATGGCTGTCGCCGGCCAACGAGTTGGTGTTTTTTCAATGTATGCTGCTTCAGACACGGGTCACGAGGCGTTCCCCATAGCGACCCCTAGAGGACGCAGTTCGAAGTTCCCATGAAAGGGAAACCCATCTCCACGCCATCGCTAACAAAACACAACAAAGCCCTTTGTCTCCTTGTTTCATTCAGCAATGATTTATTAGTTGTTTCCTTCAAAGATAAATAATTTGACCCAGACAAAAGTGCAGATTGAGTCTATTTCCATACATCACTGAGATTTGATGCTAACCGGACAAATTTCATTGTGGCATTTCAGCATTCGTACACTATAACAGGAATACAACATGGCTGTTGGGAATTAAGCATTTCTCATAAATTGGTATGCACAACATACACTATTAAAAATAAAGGTGCTTCAAAAGGTTCTTCAAGCGATGCCATAGAAGAACCATTTTTGGTTCCACAAAGAACCATTCAGTCATCTCTTTCTTGTGTTTTTGTAATCTGAAGAACCTTATTTCGCCACAAAGAACCTTTTGTGAAACAGAAAGGTTCTTCAGATGTTAAAGGTTCTTTATGGAACCATTTAGACAAAAAGGTTCTTCTATGGCATCGTGAAGCACCTTTATTTTTAAGAGTGTAGAAAACAGAAAAGGGAGGCAAAAAACACAGCCACTAGCGTTTAGATTTAGCATAATCCTGCTGGTCCATTACTGACCACACACTCACTCACTCAGGACATTTGCTGAGATTGGGTCTAAGGGTTCTAGCGGAGCTGACAAGCTCTCAAAGATTATCTTTTACCCACATGGCTACCATGCAGCCCACAGGCCTCCAAATGAAAAGTCATGGTGAGAATCCTGTTCAAACTAAGCTGTTCAACCAGAGACTTCAATACGTGCACACACACACACACATAATATGAACACACTTTTTTAGGATTCCAGAAAGGTTTGCCCACATTATCAAGTTTAAAGTCAAACTGATATACCCACAAATGTTTTGAGATTTATAAAATCGTATATTAGCCGAATCGTAATTTTAGATGGGAATCTTTTATAATATCACAAATGTCTTTACTGTCACTTTTAATAGATTTAATGCATACTTGCTGAAAAAAACCCCACACATCTTACTGACCCCAAACTTTTGAATGGTAGTGTATTATTCTATTCTATATTATTCTATTCTATAGTCCTTTTTTTCAACAATAACCTAAACACATTTATTTTTATATATTATTTGTTTTAAATAATATACACTATGTAAATGAATCACTTTAAACAAATTACTAGAAACAAAATATACTGATACAGTAAACATTTTTTGCAACATAAAAACTGTTTTGAGTATAACTTTTTAAAAATAATTTTTAAAGTATAATTTTTTTAACTGGCAAAGATTACTGTATCCGTCACACCTTACATCTAAACACTTTTGAAATGGAAGACATTCTATTTCAGAATGTCAGAAAGGCCTCATATAGGGTAATCATTACTATCAGGTCAAGGTTATGTAGGACAGGCCATTGACTCATAGTGAGCATTCAGTGCTTCTCTACAGTACACACAGGCCCATGGGGGTTCACAGGCTGCTCTTTCTGTTAAACACATAATTTCTCAATTCCCATCTGCAGGCAAAAATCAAGCGACATTTCCCTCCACTCCTTGCCCTAACATGGCTTCGTAACGTTACCCTGAGATGGCCCGTGTTACCATAGAGATGAAACACTGTCACCACTACAGCTCTGTGAAAAGCGACGAGCTCTAATGAAATAATTTGACATGGGAATTGTACCGGTGCACACAGAGGGGCTACATAAGACAGAAACTTTTCAGTCTGTTCTGGGAGAAGCCGGAAAACAAAATCAACCCCCCACAAATTAATTCGGCACACAAAGCCTGAGAAGCAAAAAAAAATCTATTCTTGAATTAACTACATCATAAAAGAAGCATAACAACCCCCCACGAAAATAATCCCAGCATTTACCGCCTAAAATGCTGCTTTTCTTCTAGGTGTGTGTTTCTTTATATGGTGTTGTACACTCGAAATAAAGACCTCAAAGAGCATCTGTGCACACTATCTAGTTCTTAAAGTCATTGTGGGACAGAAAAGTGGCCTGATGGGGATTGGTGTCATTATTCTTCATAATTTGTGTCCAGACTTACACAAAAAGGCTTGACAAGAAACAGAGCACCTGTGGGCTGTTAAACTTACAGTCTGAGAGCCTGAACCTCAACAATGAAAGCTAAAGAATTTTCTGTATGCATTTCATGATTCTCCTTTGTCTACTTTTCACATGTTGTTTCAAACAGCCAAAGCTATTTTGCACAAATGCTATTTATCTCTACTCTTAATCTGTAGTGATATATGGTCTTTTGCCTTTCACTGACCCTAAAAAGTACAACTGGAGTGCAATCCCCCAATAAACTGCTGGGTGCGGTTTCTTCTAAAACTATTAAACTGTAGTACTGAAAGAAGTTTTGACATTTTCATGTACCTCACAGAACAGAAAATGGTTCTCTCCATGTGATTAATATTTTTGATTTCTGAGTGTGAATAATTGTTGAGGTTTTGATGCTAACAATGGCACAGTCAAGGTTCAATTCCCAATTAAAATATAAACTAATGGTCTAAAAAGGCCTTATCCCTTCAATGCAATCTAAGCTGTTTTAGATAAATGCATAAATGTATTTTAACCCTCATTCAGCAAGCAAATGTTACTTTTTAGGATTTTTCCTTAAGCACTGAGCCGCTTAAATTTAAAATTATAAGGAGTTTATTAAAAATCACCAGGACTATAATCATTTGTTCAGTCAGCAACCTATAATCATTCATTTTCCACCAACTCTGCACTTTTAGAGAAAAGTGATGCTGTTGCCTGTAGTTTCATTTCCACCCAGTTATTATAGAATCACTGCAATATTCAGCAAGCTGGAGGGAAATCAGACACTGGGGTCAGCAACCTATAATCATTCATTTTCCACCAACTCTGCACTTTTAGGGAAAAGTGATGCTGTTGCCTGTAGTTTCATTTCCACCCAGTTATTATAGAATCACTGCAATATTCAGCAAGCTGGAGGGAAATCAGACACTGGGGTTTTTTAGTTCTGCTTTAAATACAGCCATGTGACGTGTGACTATGTTCTTATGACAACCACTGTCACACCAGGCCACACCAGAACCTAAAGCAACCAAGAGAACTTTGACCAGGACCCTGGTTCTTAAATGTTAATGGTGTTTACCAGTGCAGAACTTGCCACTATGTTCATGCCACTCAAAGTTTTATTCTCCATGCAAACAATGCTAATCTCCATCATTCATTGAACATACTACATGCAAATATTAATCTTCCAACATTCAAAGAGAAATGAAAGATGAGCTGTCAAAGAATAAAACAGCATAAAACAAAAAACGACATTGACTCAAATAACCCAAACTGACATCTTCGAAGACTATTGAAGACAAATGGCACAAGATCTTGCACCATTCTAAGCATCAGTGAGCTGAATGAGCCATCAGGCAGCGGTGCTGGATATGGGCTGAATTACATCACCGCATGGCTCAGTATTGAGCAGGATATATGGGGAGAGAACTGATGAGGCGTGCAGTCAGCGATCCGGTTCGGGTCCCTGCCACTGAAGTCATTGCTCAGAGCCCACAAACCTAGAGGCACGCGCTTCACCCCACATTCCTGCAACGCAATGGCTCAGCTATGCTCTCCAGGCATTTCCATCAGCGGCCTGTGGAAGGAAGCGTGTGCTGTGCGGGAGGGGTACACTGGGTTTACTATACCTGTCTGTGATGGCCTTCATAAATTCATCCAGAAGCTCATCATAGGCCTGTCCACGTATTCTTTTATGCCTCAGACCAATGTACAGAGGGTCCTTTAGGAGTTCCTAAAGGAAAAGAAGAAAAAGAGAGAAGAAAAGGTTTTCACTTCTATAATCCCAGGCATCAAGTAGAAACAATGGCATGACATTGCGATTCATCATATTACTCTAACCAGTGGGGAAAAAAATTTAAACGAAAGTACAATACTATCAAAACTCAAAAAGCGAAAAAGAGAGAAGAAAAGGTTTTCACTTCTATAATCCCAGGCATCAAGTAGAAACAATGGCATGACACTGAATTCAATGATGAACTGTCTTTAACTGAAAAATGAGTGTTTACTATTGTCATTTTGCATTATTGACACTATTTTCCTAATTAATGCTGTTCAGTTGCTTTGTCACAATCTGTATTGTTAAAAGCGCTATATAAATAAAGGTGACTTGACTTGACTTGACATTGCGATTCATCATATTACTCTAACCAGTGGGAAAAAAATTGAAACGAAAGTACAATACTATCAAAACTCAAAAAGCGAATGTTTATTATGTGCACAGCTCCTCTTTAATTAGATTACATATGGTAATCTGGTTACCCCACAGCTAAACCGCTCACAGTGCCTGTAAGCATATGTTTAAAGGAAAGACAGACTGAGAACAAGAGAAAGAGAAATGCACGAAAGCATAAAAAGAGCGTGCCAGTCAACCCGAAAAGAAAATGGATTAACAGAGCACCTGCATCACTCTCAGCAGTACTGATGTGCGGTGCAACAATTCCGGAACTTTTTTTTTTTCACGTTTTGATCATGGTGAATGAGGAAGTGCTTTCATCAGAACTCATTCCCATACAGCACACAAAATTTCAGGCATAATCTTTTCTGATGATCTGTCCTCAGTTTTAAAGCGTCTTTTATCTGATAGGACTAGTGAAAGAGAAAAAATAGAAAAGGTTGAACAAGCAATAAGTGCTATGAAGTTTTAAAATTTCTGTCTTTAAATATATATATATATATATAATCTTTTTTTTCATCTTTTTTTTCCATCAATTTCGAAAGTAGTTTCTCATTTGGCAAGACTTTCTTCTTTCTTCTGTGTAACACAAGAGAAGATATTTTGAACAATGTTGATAAAAGTTTTGGCGAAAAATAACTGAGAAATTTCTAAAAGAAAATAAATAAATAATTATCTGTAATAAATGTAATATCTGAAAATGTAATACATCAGATTACAAGCTAGGATAATATCTAAAATAACAGATACACCTTGACAGAAATCTTGCTCTTTGGGAAACAGATCCAGATAATTCAAATGAAATCAGGACAAAATCTGATCCTAGACCTACTGCATAACTACTCAGAAGTGCTTTTGTAAAAATGAGTCACTAAGTGATGAGAGGAAGCCTTTTTCTCTCAGGGATTAATACTGGGTTTTGGTGAACTGTGCTTTGTGTGTGTGAACTGTACGTGTATGTAGCCTTTCAGGTGAGATTAAGGCACAGGAACAGTCAGGGTCTTTTAGCCACAGTCAGAGAAGAATGAGAAAATTAATGTGTGTGTGTATGTGTGTGTGTGTGTGTGTGTGTGTGAGAGAGAGAGAGAGAGAGAGAGAGAGAGAGAGTGAGAGAGAATGAGAGAGGTAAGTCTCTTTGCCTAGGCCACCCACAATCACAACAGACAGCACTTTGTTTGCGATAGCATCATTTGGTTTCCTTTCATTGTGTGAATGCATGCATGTGGATGAGGTCACATGAGGTGATAGCGGTAAGTGTCCCTGCTGTCAATCAATATAAGATAAATATAAGAGTCATCTTCAGAGATCATATTCCCCTTTTACACCAGAGACACAAAAACTGATGTGGTGTCAGTGATCACAATCTGTTGTCTGGAGGTCTGCAGTGTATACAGAAGCTCAGAAATCTCAATGCAGTCCAGCACTGTTTAGACAAGGCATAATACTCTAGAAACACTCACAGGAGGTGTTTACATAGAGCTTGCAACAACAAAAAAGGAAGTTCACAGATAGTGTTTACATGGGTTGGATTGCAAGCTATAAGTGTCTGTTTTTGTTTGTACAATCTGGTTCTACATTGCAGCTACTAAATCACTGAACTTGTAAAAAAAACCTTTGTACATTACACACACACACACACACACACACACACACACACATATATATATATACATACATACATACATATATACGTATGTGTATACATACAGTATACATACCTCATGTGTCAAATATAATAAAAATAATGAAATAATGTTGATGTTATAAAATAAACAACTGTACTTATAGTGCTATTATATTTTTAAATTGTATGTTATATTTTCTACTGTTAAAATTTTTATTAATTTATAATAAAATATATATGTAATATCTAAAAGCATATTTTTAGTAGTATCTATTTTAGTATATAAAACTCTATAAAAATAATATACATAAAATCTTATAATTGTATGTGTAATAGTGTATATATTTACAAAAGGGGTGCAAACAGCTGCAGATATTTACACTGAAATGCAAATAGCATCTGACAGGAAATCCAGTTTGCTGACATTAACAATTAGCACATTTAAGCTCTTCACAAAAAGCCTACACAAAGCCCTTCCATGTTATTTGCACATCTTGAACTTTCTCTAGCAGCCAGACCACAGACAGCGTTCTTTACGGATTAGAGTTTAACCAGAGCATACAGGGCCTGGATCAAACACCCTTAAATGATGTATGCTAATCATAGATCAGATTCCTCACTGTCTGTATTGATGTTAGTGACTGCGTTTGGAGAGTCAAAACTGATCCAGGTGCAGTCATCCAGTTCCCTCTGAGGGGCTGAAAGAGAGGAGACAGCCTGACCTCAGTCAGTAGGCGTCTTGCTCCTTTAGAAATAACAGTAGACTTAATCCTTTAATAACACTCATTTAATCATCAGACTACACAGTCCTATAACACGCACACACAGCTGTGGGGGTATAAGCAGTGAATTTATTAATCACTAGACCTGTCATCTCTTCAGAATATCATGAAAACGAGGTCTTAATTACCTCAGTCTTCATTGAAGTCAGCCAAATGGTGCAGCAGAAGTCATCTTTCAATTTTTGACTTGTAGAGGGACGGAAGACTAAATAGCAAGCCATGTGTGCGGGTATGAAATACTGCTTTTCTGTCCGTTTACATTGAGATCATTTTAATAACAAAACAGACTCTTTATTGTGAACACATTCATGCAACTTTAACCCAGACAGCGCAAAATAAACAAATAAATAAAATATAACCAAAACAAATGAGAAATAAATTAAACATAATCGAAAAAAAACAATTTCTCTCCATTCCTCCAGCTGAATACACTTGGATGCAAAACACAGGGGGCAAAAACTAGAGAGTCAACTCATTAAAGTGTTTAGATGACCAAGGATACGTTGAATAGCTGACTGGCCACTCCGCATTTAGCACTGCAGCAGAAGACACATGTGGAGCTGACCTCAGAAGAGACTGTTGTGTTTTTGTGTTCACGCAAACATGGCTCAACAACAGCGTTCCGGACTGCGCTATTCATCTCGTTGTATTTTGTATTTAATCTGTATTTATGTTATCTGTATGCACCCAAGGGTCTGAGAGTAACGCAATTTCAATTCTCTGTGTGTATGTGCTGTACATGTGGAAGAATTGACAATAAAGCAGACTTGAACTTGAACTTGAACTTGAACCTGCAGGATATTGAAGCAGAAGTGAATGGGAAAACTGACTCAGAGCAGTTACACAATAGTGTACTCTCTTACTCATTTATGAGCTTTTGTACAGATAAGAGTGTGAAGCTGAGTTGAGGAACTTCAAATTTTAGTGCAAAAGCAAGAATTGTTGACATGTCCCAAAAAAAGAACGAAGTTTTTCCCGGTAACATTGTCATGCAGATGAAGAAGGTATTTAACCTTTTAACTGCTTAATTTCATACCACCCCGTACATCATTAACTTAATAACTTTTAAATGCTTAACAAGCAGATTAATATGACTTTTTGGCATTGTTTTCATGGTGCAAGTCATATAAATTTGGAATCAATGTCTTTGGAATTGGTGAAACCCTGGAGAGTGTTAATTTGTCTGACAGTGAGAGTTCTGGTACATTGTGTAATAGTACAGGGTGATGTAGTTGGGAGTGGGCAAAACTCACACGAATGTCCTTCTCTGGCCAGCTCTGAAGTAGTGTGGAGATGTGGGAGCGGTCATGAATTGTAATAAATAGGCCCCTAGAAGACAGAAAAACAGAGTAAGTGACAAAACATGGTCAACTTAATTGATTCTGTTTTGTGTCCGTGTCGCAAGTGCTTCCATTCATTATATATGGAATCAGATTACCAAAACAAAACAGTGGAAAAATGAGGAGGCTAAAATGAGGTGGCAGAGTCTGTATCTTTAAGTCATTAAGTATAAATTCATGTTCCAGTTCCATTTGGAACAATTCAAGCTTCAGGTTTTACCTTCAGCTAATGTACAAAGCTCCTTGCTCCTTGCTTATTCACAGATTTATTTATTTATTTTAATTTTAATGATTGAATTTGGTAAATTACAGTTTCTCCTGTTACCCCCTTTCAGTAACTGAAATGAAGCTGAAATAAAATAAAATATAAATATGAGGTGAAAATCAAATTTAAAATAAGAAATGTTTCTTTGGCAACTAACTGAAATAAAATCATTCAAGTTGAAGTACTAAAATTACTAAAACTGAAATCAAAATAAATTAAACCTAAATAGTAATATAAAAAAAAACCAAAACTAATAAAAATTACAACAAAATTACTAAAACTTAAAATGAAATCTGAACATGTAAAATATAAAAATATTAATAAACACTATAATAGTATATAAATAAGGCTAAATTACTGAAACACTGGTCTGTTTCATGAGCTCAATGAAAATGCTTTGAGCTCACTCTAAATCTTTATCTGCTGCTGTTATTGTGTTACTAAAAATTGTATTATATATTATCTGATCCAATTTTACATTGTCTGCTTTGCTTTACTTCTCTAGGCCTCCTCAAAGACAACAGCCCTGAATAAAAATAAAATAATAAAAGTAGAAGAAAAAAACATAACACAGATGACAGTATGCAATAATCAAGAACACAGGCAACTATTCTTTTGAGCAGACAAAACTTTATAATCATTATCATCAGTCTTGCGGTGAACAAAAATGAATTGATTCTAATCGACCTCTCAGTCTATCTACCCAATCTATCATCCTCACATGTGCTAATAATAAAGAGGCTTTTTTATAGCCACCCATGACCTTCTGAACATAGACAAATTAACAGCTTCATCCCTGGGCTACTGGAGAACGGTTTCTCAAAAAAGCTTCTCAAATGCAGATCCCGTTACCACACGTGACTTAATTTTGACTGTATAGGGTCACTGATTTTTTTGACTCAGTACACTTTGCACTAAAGATTCAAAAAGAAAGAAAGAACAAACCAGTTTCAACCAAAAGTCTATGTTGGTTGAGCATGGCTACACTGGTCTACCAATCACACCAGTGTTTAGTGTAAGTCTGGAAAATCATGTTTGAAGGTGGTAGGAAGGTTTGTTGAAGGTGGCACCTTTGATCATATTTATGTAGAGGTTATACTTGACCAATATAAGTAAGTTATACTATACACTCAGATTTTCTGATCCATATTTAATGCAAGATTTACTCAGATGTGGCGTGTGAATGGTGTTTGATCTTGGTGTGTGGTGTGTTTTTGTTGCTGATGCTGAGGTGTGAACAGAGGTAAATCACTGGATTATGCAAATAACAACCTTGGCTTGACCTGCTCAGTTTTGTTTTACATAGACTTTGGTGTCAGAAGATGTAGTAGATAAAAACAAATGCACTTCACAGTGGCATTTCACATGTTCTTGGACTTGCAAAGATTCTCTCTGTTGCTCAAACTCTCAATACTGACCGCTTTTTTTGTCTTAAGTTTTTATTTTCTGGTCTCATGAGATCCACTGACCATAGCTGGAGGAGCAGGATTCCTGGGACATCTTTCATCTTGAACTCAAATGTATCTCGAGGACATATACCTATTGTATATGTTTCTTCCTTCCACCCACGGATTCGTGGAAAACTTCCAATCTCTCAGTCAGCCTGAGTTCACAGAATCCATAAAAAACAAATCATTCTTACATCTGGAAGAATCTTGAAATTAGGCTTCACTAGGTGGACTTGATCAGAGTCCAAGAATCCTGGTTAAAGAAGACAAAAATGGAGGCTATCTTTTGACAGGGAGAACTCAGGCAGTAACAGGAAATCTGAAGATCAGTATATAATAAATCATGTGACTCCAGGATTAAAGTTTAGACATCCTTATAGACATCTACAAGATGTTGCTAAATTCCAGTGCAGCTGAAAAGGCACATAAGAGCTCTTCCTCAGCAGCTGACACACGGTCAAATGAAAAGTACACACCTGGGAGCAGGCATCATGCTCGAAACACAAACATAATTCAGAATGCATGCTCCTCTGACCCAGAATTCTTTACAAGCCATTCATTACTGTAGTGTTTTTCTTGTCAGCTATCGTGGGAATATTATAATATTAATCACAAACTCAGGGACACCATGCGGTGCGCATCGCGAATTCTGGAGATCTCTTTATTACAATACCCATGTCACTTCCTGACACTCCTTAGCTTATGGGTAATGCAGTTTCACACATGGTGTAAACAATCATTACAATCACCAAGCAACATGATGAAATATCCACTAAAACGTCAGTCAACAAACTTAAAAGTATAATAAATTAAATGGATAATACAGATTTTATCATTAATAAGTGCTGCAGTACTGTGAAAGCCTTGCTCAAATGTATCCACTGGAGGCCTCACAACTGGTGACCATCATCTTCCTCAGATTCAAAAGTTAAAGGACAGTAAAATTAATTTTAAAGGACCTATAAGAAAATGAGAATGTACATATACCATATACTTTTTTTAGACACAACTTGGTGCTAATTTAAAAAAAATACACTCCCATTCAAAAGTTAGAGGCCTGTAAGACATTTTAATGTTTTTGAAAGTCTCTTATGATCACCAAGGCTGCATTTACTTGATCAAAAATTTGCCATGGCAAGCATTTTCTTCAGAAAATGTGCATATATAGTATTTTGAAATATGAAATAACTATAAATATTAAAATAACTATTTTCTATTGTCATATTTTTTTAAATATAATATATTCCTATATTTCAGCAGCCATTACTCCAGTCTTCAGTGTCACATGATCCTTCAGAAATCTTTCTAATATGCTGATTTGCTGCTCAAGAGACATGATTATCAATGTTGAAAACTGTTGTGCTGGTTAATACTTTTGTGGAAACCATGATCCCAAATTTTTGAATGGCAGTGTAATGTTATCATCTAAAAAATATTATACTATTAATATTATATTAGTATACTATTATACTATTAAGGACCTGGTGTTACATGAGAAATTAGTCCCATTATTAGTAATAACCTATCTACTAAGTTGCCCTTCTCTTAGATAAGCTCACTATGATATCCCATAGTTCTGTGTGTGTGGTTCGACTCTTGTAAGTATTAAAAAAGCATCTAAAGGAGTGATTTAAAGCAATTTAATTCATAAATGTCTATTTTCCCCCTTGTTTTCCAATATATTATTCAAATTCTACCGGGAAATAAGCATAGTAGTCATTACAATTTTACTTAGTTATGTCTAAAGTCCTTTCAAACTTGTTTAACATTATTGCAAATTATGTTATGATGCCTTGGAAATCTGTTTCCCTCTCAAAAACACTAAAAACTAAAGTGTCCCTGGTTTTCACTGCTCTATGATGTTCTCCTCCACAGTGAATCATCATATGCATGATGAGGGGGAAAACCACAACAGATCTTTTAAACCATTTTGGATCATATACAGACAGCCTGGAAAACTTCCCCCACATTATGTCTGACATCAGCTTGGTACCCACTGATAGGCGGCTCAAACTCGTGTTTTTAAAGCAATGAGTACTGTATCCAATCAAAGACATTTCTGTTGAGCGCATGAACACACAGTCCACATCCACTCAGTACTGAACAAAACACTGTTTTATTCATCACAAGCTAACTGAGTTCTGCAATTAAATAGTTTCAACAAGTTTTTGTTCACAAGTGAAAAAAAGTGAAATCATTTAGCTTTTAAGTGTGAGCCATTTGCATTTATACTGTCTGAAATGTATCCACAAATACAAAACATCATGTGTTCTTTTCCAGACAGTCAAAACGCAGATAGTTCAGAATTTATTTTATAGATTCAAAATCACTTTAAAATAATCTGTATATTGTATTGTGATATTGTTTTTTTTTTTGCTTGCATCACCGTGGTAAAGCAATATCTTCAAAATGATTTTCTCTGACAGTGTAAATCACACACTATTAAATGAGAAACCTTCAAATCTGGTTTCAATGCTTTGACTTCAATCCTGAAATTAACCCACTGTTAAGTTTACTACCGTTATCAATTCTTCATGCATTGGAGTAATCAGTATAACTTCATGTAACAAACTTACAGGCATACTGTGACATTTCTGCAGCATGGGATCTGGAAGCAGTCTAATCAAATGAATTTATTCACACATCGCAAAATTATTCCCATGTACCCCCCGCCCCCAAACCCCCAAATTGCAATCATCCTCATAAACAGTTCAGCTCTCTTTTAGATTTCCTACGGGAAATCCTACATTAAAAATAAATTAAAAGCTGTAATATATATATACATAACAGACAGGCAACACAGGCATAGGAAATAAAACAACACAGGCTACAATCCTGACAGTACATCCCTCCCCCCGGAAAAAGCACATCCTTGCACCGCAAAAGATCCAACTGAGGAGGGAGGGAGGGCGGGGGCTCTGGAGGAGACCATGGAGCAGGAGAAAGGCAGGGACTGGGAAAAGGTGATGGCAAGAGAAACCATGGTGGGAATGACAGACGGAGGAGTCAGGTAGTAAACCAGAGTCCAGCCAGAAAGGAGCCATGGTGTAGAAGCCCTTGATGACACCATGGGGATGAGCGATAGAGACGGATCCGCTGGAGGTGGAGATCCAGGTGGAGCCAAGCAGACAGAGAGCCAGAGTGGCACTGCACGTCCGGAGGGCCAAGGCAGAGTTGACAGCTCATGTGACTGAGGCAGAGATGGGAACCTGGAAGTCCGTGGCGACTGAGGATAAAGGCGGAGCTGGAAGGAAGCAGGAGCCAGACGGAGCCAAA